CCCATGGCCCTGGGAGTCGGGGCTACCTGGCCTCTGCCCAGACCCGCTCAGGACAGCGTCATTTCACTCGGCCCTTTTATGACCGTGTTCAGCACTTTAGGGCTGACTTCAAAAGGGCTGCATAGCACCTAGAGAGGGCGCCCCCAGGGTGGTTAGTGTGTGACGTGCGCCTATCACGTGAGCTCACGGGGACCCCAGCTGCAGGGACGCTGAGGGCCACACCACCGTGCAGGGATGCGCAGGGACCGCCCGGCCTCCCAGCTCCCAGGGGGCCTCCCGCCTCCTGGCTCCTCCGTGGAGGGCTGTCCGCTTGTGTTAGAAAGGGAAAGTGTTTTAATATCTTCTCTTCCCGGCTCCTTCTTTCTGCCTCATTTGCATTTTCCGAAGATTTCTCTAAGCTTGAGTTTTTACCCAGAAGCTAAACGCAGAGAAAAGACCAGTCATGAGTGACTCAGCTGCCGTGCGCAGCCATCGCACATCGCTGAGGCCGTCAGCTTCCTCCTGCTGGCTCCGCACCGAGCTAAAGGCTAGTGCTGAGGGCACTCTGAAGTTCGAGTTGCTTAATACTGCTCCAGTCCATTCCACGGAGGGGAGCGGAGTCTGCCACCCCAAAGTATGCCCTTTAGGGTACTGGTTACTTCAAGCTGGTTATTTTTAAGGAACAACAGACTCAGAAAGAACCTTTGATCCTCCCCCTTTACCTCCTAAAGGGGTCGGAAGGGAAAACCTGCTTCAGGAAGAGAACTCACCACATGCACCTTAGCTCGGTGGGGATGAGGGGCAGACGGGGGACCCCAGTAAAAGCCTGTCTGCTGCCTCCCCTCTGGGTCCTCTGTTTCCGGTGGCCCCAAAGGAATCCGCTGACCACACGGTGTGTGCTGCTTCTCGCCCACCTGTGAATCGCCTGCTTTCCCTCTGAGACCCCCAGGCCCCCGCCCCCTCTTCGTCCAGGCTGGCACCGAAGCCGAACTGCCCCATGTACCCCAGGTCCCTGTCCTGGAACCCCACGTGTGCATCTGTAATATATCTGGTCGCTCTCTCCTGCTAGTCTGTCTCATGTCGATGTGATTATGAATCCCGCCAGAAGAACCTAGAAACGTGGCAGGAAAATCATTTCCCCACCCCACACCACAGCCTTAGTGACACCGGCGGCCTAGGTGTTACCATTGTCACCAGCCACCACCGTGGCCTAAACCCTGGAACCCCACGTGCGCATCTGTAATATATCTGGTCGCTCTCTCCTGCTAGTCTGTCTCACGTCGATTTGATTATGAATCCCGCCAGAAGAACCTAGAAACGTGGCAGGAAAATCATTTCCCCACCCCACACCACAGCCTTAGTGACACCGGCGGCCTAGGTGTTACCATTGTCACCAGCCACCACCGTGGCCTAAACGACAGAAACAAAGGCTTGCATGGAGCACACGTCCTGATAAATGACCCCTGGGAATCCCTGGCTCACTTCACGCCTGTAGGAAGGTCCCTGCCCCGCCCCAGCCGGGCCGCCCGCGGTCCCACCGGCATCTGTCAGCATGGCTGCCAGCGGTTCCTCCAAGTCACACGCACAAAGCGAACCCCGGCGTGGTCAAAGGCGCCTAAAACTGACACAGAGCAACGAACACCAAGGCCACTGTCAGTTCAAAGCCAGCCGCGTCGTGTCCTAGAGCGTCACCGGACAGGGAGAGCCGGGGCAGAGTGGCCGGGACCCCCTCTGCTTAGACACCTCGGCTTCTCCTTCCTCTGGGTAGACTCCAGGAGCGACCACACCGCCGGCACACACTCACGGCCCGGCACGCGGGGCGCCCGGCTGCCGGCCACCAGCCAGGAGCGAGCGCAAGACGGTGCGACACGCTCGGCCGCTGTGGGACACCGTGGGACAGCATTCAGTGTGAGCGAAGGCCTTGCACGCAGGGTCCCAGCAGGGAGGCGGACCAGCAGGTTACACACGTGCACACACACACGTACGTAAAACAAGGTGTTTTGCCAGGAATTGGCTGATGTCACTGGCCAGTCTGAGGTCCCGGCGGGAGCGGAGGGTGCGAACCTCAGCCCTGCTCTTCCCGGCCTTTCATCTGACTGGACTTGGCCTGCCATTTCCGAGAACAACCTTTCCTTACAGTCAACTGATTATCGGTGCTAATTACACCCATGAAACACCTTTGCAGCGACATCTAGCCTGGGGCAAACCCAGGCAGGCCTAGCCACGCACCCTCACAGCACAGCGGGGAGAGCAGAAGTTCCAGCTGCGTCCTTGGCTTCAGGAATCTCAGATGCAGCTCTCCGCGGGCTGGGGTGGGGAGAGGGGACTCACCCGGCGGTCAGCAACAGGCGCAGGGCTGATGGACTCAGGGGCACTGCATTCAGCCCCTCGGATAGGGAGGGGGGGGCCCGGTTCTCGCACAGCTGAGGGCTGCAATATTCGATGACTGATCTCCATGACTATTCCCTCTACTGATGACCAGCCACGGAGTTACTGTTCCTTCTGTCCAGCCGTGCCATCCTCACGTTGAACTTTCTTGATCGGTTCCCGCGTTTCCGCGTGCTTTCCCGTTCATTCGCTGTGCTCACGGCCTTCATGGCCTTTCCTCCTCCGCTCCTTCCGCTCATCTCAGCTTTTGATCTTCTGTTTCGCGTTGCTCTACTTTTCATCATACTCGGTCCTCAATTTCCAAGTCTTTCTGGGGCAAACACAGCCGTAACATTGCCACCTGTCACCGCCGGGAACAGACTTGCTCCCCGAGGGCGTGGGCTAGGGCGCGCTGGAGACCTGCCTCCCCAACCACGGCCGTTTGCTTCCATCCATCATCTCGACTGGGAGGCGGGAGCCTGAAAAAGTTCTATCTGATCAAATGTCAGATCATGAAAGTGACATGGGAAGGCAGGAAGCCGGCGCGGAACTTGTTGGGCGTCTGTCACTGCGGTCCCAGGCCAAGGAGGAGGGGCTTCGGGCAGGGAGCGGAGGCAGGAGCAGGGGGTGGCCTGGTAGTCAGCACCAGGAACGGCCAGGGCCGGACCCTCTCCGGGCACTATGGCCCCGACGATTGAGGTCGGCCAGGCTGGTCCCCGCTACGGGGAGACCCATGCCACCAGTGGGTGACCCCAGAAGGGACCGCCCACGCGTGGCGGAAACCGTGAAGCTAGCTTAGAACAAGATTAGTTTTTTAAAAGACCAGTGGAGTCAAATGCCTGGAAGGCACTAGAAGGGGCAGCCCGAGGGGACGTTCCTGACCGAGACCCGACGGCGGCCCAGGAGACGCGCCGCGCGCGGGGCTGGAGCAGAGCCTGGACTTCTCCGCGCAACGCGCCCCATCCGGTTCCTCCGCGCGGTCTCCACGCGGACTGGCTGAGCGCAGGAGGCAAGGACGTGAAAGCTTCGTCCCAGCGCCGGGTGCTCCCGAGCTCTGCGGCACCCCGGCCCGGCTGCGCGCCCCTCGCCCTGCCCCCCGCTCAAGGCAGAGCTTCCGGGGAGAGGGGACAGCAGTGCAGAGGCTGAAAGAATGGGCGGTCTGGGCCCCCAAAACAAACGCGGTGGAAGGGGACCGTCCTTCTGTGCCAGCGTGAAGCAGCGCTCAGCAAGGCGGGTCCTCTCGTTGCGGGAGGGTCCGTTGGGAATAAAGTGTTTCACCAGGGGCTTTGACCCCCTCCCAAACCAGAAGCGCAGGGGTCTCTGCCTGCCCCTCCTTCAGACTGCGGGGTCCACGCCTCCGCGGTCCCTCGCGACCAGGGGGAGGGCAGCAGGCCAGGCAACAGGGCTGCACGGCGTGCTGTCCTCTGCAGCCGCCCTTCTCTGCCTTTCCTCTGGGGGACCTCTGCCCTCTCCTGTCCCGTTTCAGGGCGCCAGGTGTCAGCGCAGTGGCGCCGTGGCTCAGCGTTTTCGGGGTTGAAGGCTAGCAGAGGCTCCTTGCCTCGCCGGGCTCT